GGCTTCGTTGGGAAAGGCGCTTGGCTACCTCCCGCTGTCCAGAGAGCTGGCTTGGGGATGTTCAGATTCTTAACTGTCTAGGTCATGAAACACCTCCCTCCCCAATTGTGCTTTCCCATGAAACACCATATATGTTTCTGCTCTTTTCGCCCCAATATCTCTTCTGGGCTTCAGACAGGAACTCCGAAATTCTAGGTGACCTCTCCTCCCCATCCATATTTGAAATGTTGTGTCTCTGCGATGTTCAAAAATGGTGAAGGAGGATGTGGAAAACTGTGGCTCCAAATAGGAAAGTCTGTTTACACATGTGACCGGGCCTCCTAGTTTAGATGGGTTGCTTCCTTTCCGGCAAAGCTGAGAACAAGGTCACGATCAGATAACCGCTGCTTTGAAGAATTTCATTCATGCCTGCGCCAGCGGAGCCTGGGGGTAAACAAAAGGCTGTTGATGCCGGAACGGCCTGAACTGATAAAGGGCTTGTTCCTAAAGCGTGTGTATCGTTCTGTGTTCTGCAAAGATTCGTGGCTACAGCCGTGACCTCGTTGGTCCAGCATTTCGGTGCGTGTTCCTTTGGTGTGGCTGAAAGGTGGCCTCTGTCCCTCCCCCTTGGGTGTCCACCCCCCAAAAAAAGCTTCCCTTCTAGGGCTCAACAGCTGACCAAAAGCATGGTTGTTGTTCCAAAGGCGGCCTCTGCTCAACCCTAAGCCTCTCCCGTCTCCCTCCCTCCAGCGGGTCCTGACGGCCGATTTCTACGAAGGCTGCAAGATCAACGACCTGGAAGGGATCCAGAGGCAAGGCCTGCAGCTCAAGGATGTGAGTGCGAGAGGTGCCCTTGAGGCAGGGGGAAGGGATGGGGTGGGGCTGTCTCTGATTCCCCCTCTCATTTTTTGGGCGGCTGCTGAATGCAAGACAAGTTCCTTGGCCTCAGACCGAAGGCCCACCCTGCTCTGGGTGCGCTTTCCACACCCGCAGACCCACATATCTCTGGGGAGAAGCCACCCCACCTTTCCGTGAGTTTGCGTGATGGCCTCAAACACCGCCCGGGTGGGCAGCCCTCGTGACCACGCCTTCCAGGTCGCGTGGACTCCGTGGCTTTGTTCTGCCTAGAACTCATTCCTGACTGCTTGTCCTGTACGTTGTGGGACCCGGCTTCAGAGGATTAATGCCCTTGCTGGGTTCTAGCATTGGGGAAGAGGCAAACCCCTACCTGCCTGCATGTCTGTCCTGTGGTTGAGGGTGAGAGGTCGCAGACTGGCATCCCTGGGACAGTCGGTCACCTCTTGCAGATTCCGAGCTGGACCAGGTCCCGCAGGGCTGCCCGTGTGCCTTGACCAGAGGTTTGCGCAAGGGGAGGATGAACCTTGATGTCCGATTGCTCTCCTGATGACACCCAGCCGGGAGTGGGCTTTCTCCGCGGCAGCTGCACCCCCCCCCCCAGGCCGGCGTTTTTAACCCCGGGGCCTCCTGCCCTCCTTGGCATTGCTCACACCCTCTCGGGCCACATCCGTGGAATTCAGACAAATGCATAGACATTACCCTTACTGCGTTACCCGCTTTTTATCCTTGTTTGGGTGGAAGGTGGTAGAGTCCTTGCTCCTCGTCCAGGAAAGTTCACCTTAAAACGTAGCAGCTAGTCTTCAAGGGGCCATGACATTTTTGTCGTCTTTGATTTCTCTTTACCTTTTTGCCCGATACGGAGCCATCCTGCTGGAGTTCTTGGGAATCCCTTTGGTTCCGATTTCCCCACGTTCTTTGGCCTTGGGAGCGGTCCCAACACCCTCCTCCCATCTCCCGTCCTCTGCGCCTGCGCCTCTTTGGGGTTCCCAGACCCAACGGCAAGCCGTCTCTTTGTTCATCCTGTGCGGTGTGCTGGGAAGGGACCCTCTCTACGGCCTTTCTGGTGGGGGGGGACCATTGCCACGGCCACCCACCTGCTTTCTCTTTGCCTGGCAGAAGCCGTGGCCCCTCAGGGATCAGGCCCTTTCTCTCCCTGGTTCTCCCATGGCGGCATCTGCTGGGACTCTGCCCCCTGCCTGCCTGCCCCATTCTGTCTCCTCTCTTCCCAGGCGGCAGGCAAGTTGGTCCGGACCTTTGCCGAGCAGATCTTCCTGACTGGGTTCATCCATGCCGATCCACACCCAGGAAACGGTAGGAAAAATAGCAGCCCAGACCAAGTAGAAAGGGGTGGGAAGGGGGGGGAAGGACATCCAGGCTTCCTGGCCCTGAGAGTAGCCACCGAGCTGCCAGGCGGCTGTCCTGCTTCACTCCAGGGCTGGTCCCTGACTGACTTCCCCAACATGTGCAAACACACCCTCTCGCTGCTTGGGGTAGCGGCTGAAATAGGTCCATCATTGGCCAAGAGCAGCAGAGCGTGGGATGAGGAGCTAAGGCAGAGCTGTGACGTTGAGGGGTTTTCGGGAGGGGGTGTTTTCTCCTTGATTTGGTCAGGGGCTCCTGCAGTTCCTTGGGAGGCTGCCCCCTGACGGGACCGATGGGAAGCAAGCAAGATCTAAGTCAAGGCCATGTGGTCGGGGCCCTGTCGGCCCTCGGGGTTGGGAACAAGCCAGCCCTGAGCCAGGGGCGCTTTGCTGGCTGACCTTGGCTGCCTTTCTCCTCTGCAGTGCTGGTGCAAAAAGGCCCCGACGGGACGGCTCGGCTCATCCTTCTCGATCACGGGCTGTACGAGTTCCTCCATGAGAGGTAAGGATAAAGGCAGCGGGAGAGGGATGCGGGTCAAGGCGGCGTCCCACGTGGGAGGGGGAGCCCTCTTGCGCCCATGGGCCTGTGGTGGCCAGAAAGGACACACACACGTGGGGGGACACCCACACAGGGTCCCTCCCAGCTCTGCCGTTCTAAGGTTATTACGGTTAATATTTTATTATATCTGTATGTGTGAGTGCCTCTGGTGGTCTCTCTCCCAGTTATTACGGTTAATATTTTATTATATCCGTGTGTGAGTGCCTCTGGTGGTCTCTCTCCCAGGGAACGGGAAGCGCTGTGCAAGCTGTGGCGAGCGATCATCTTGCGTGACGATGCGTCCATGCAGTTGCACTCCAAGGAATTGGGTGTGAAAGGTGAGCCTCTGTGTGTGTGTTGTGTGCATGCATGTGAGGGGGGTGGGACGCTTGGCCACCCCTCCAGGTGTCCCTTGGGGCGGTCCATTCCTCCCAAGAGTGTCCAGACTCACTCAAGGAAGAAAAACCCCAGCACGGTTTCCCAGCTGCTCATCCTGCTGCTGCTGCTGCAGCTGTGAGAATAAGAAGCCGGTATTGTCAAGCCGACGCTGACTTAATGGGGATCGTCCCAGGCACAAGGTGCTCAGACAGGGTGCTCAGTCCTTGCTCCTGGTGGTGCCGTGGAGCTGCCGTTACCTCTTGCCCTGCCAGCCCTTGCAAACAACGGGGGCAGCCTTTGCTTTCATGCACGGTTTTCTTTCCCTGCGTTTGGCCACGCTCCCCCCTCTCCTCCCCCGGTGCTGGGTCTTCCTGCGGAGCCCTTGTGGTTTGCAGGGGCTGTGCCTCGAGACGCAGAGGCCCTTCCCATGGCTTGGCCTACCGCCAGTGCTCGTGAAAAAGTTCCACGAAGCGGGCCGAGGCTGAGCAGGAAAGCCCCGCTGTGCCTCTCTCCGGGGGGGGGGGGCTCCAGTGCTCGTGAAAAAGTTCCACGTAGGGGGCCAGGGCTGAGCAGGAAAGCCCTGCCGTGCCTCTCTCGGGGGCTGGGGACGGTGGCTGAGGCCGTTCGCCTTTCCAGCCAGGCAGGGGCGGGAGTGAGGTGGGACCCCCTGGGTCTTTCCTGCAGCACAACACCGACCGGTCTTTGCTGGACGTCAGCGGTGAAGGAAGATAGGAGTTGTAGTCAGTGATGTTGGAAGGCTCCCTGTTTCCCACCTTTGCTTTGAAGCCGGCCAGGATTAAAAACAAAGGGGGTGCAGTTGGGGGGGGGGGAGAGAGGAAGAAGGCAAATAGCTCCTAGGTGGGAGAAGCTACTTTTTAAGGGATGGTTTGGTGGTTCTGCAGATATACGTAACATTGGCTCCGGTTGTCCTTATTGGGATGATGATCCCCATCTGGTAGAGGAAGAGGCTGGGCTTGTTTCTTGTGGCTTTCCTGGAATCTCTGCTGCCTTTATGTGGGAGCTGAGATGCAAACCAGTCCCTTCCAGTTTCCCTTCTGCCTTGGGACTGCCCTGGTTGTGTCGGGTGTGTGCGTGTGAAGGGTGCATTCATGCATGTGTGTTCACACCACATCTGGGCGCCTGCCTTTCTCCCGCAGCCGAGGACTACTTCCTCTTCTGTGAGCTGTTGCTGCAGCGGCCGATCAACATGGCGTCCCTGGCGCTGGCCAACCTGCTGACCCGGGAGGAGACGGCGTACATGCAGGACATGGCCAAGCACCGCTTTGACCGCATCATGAAGGTGCTGAAGGACCTCCCTCGCTCCATGCTGCTGGTCTTCCGCAACATCAACACCGTGCGGGGCATCAACGTGGCCCTCGGGGCCCCCGTGGACCGGTACTACATCATGGCGAAGAGGTGGGCAGGATGAGGCCCTTAGAGGAAGCCTCTGCTTGGCCGGCAGGTCTCGGAGGCTGCTTCTGGAACATGTTTTTTTTGGGGGGGGGCTTAGTGTTGCTTAGCGGGGGTGCCTTTGTCGGTGACTTCTCCTGCCTGGCTTGTTAGGCTCCTTTTTCACATGCCTCCCTCCCGCCCAAAGCGCTCTTGGCATGTGATGCACGCACAGACACATGCGCACACGCGCAGCCTCCTGCTAGGAAGCCGTTAGAAGAAAAGAGCTTTGGGTTTTCTGTCTTAACTGCTTGCAGAAGTCCTGAAAGTAGAACGCGTGGTAGTTTCCCCACCACAAAGCCTTTTGCAGGGGGAAGCCGTTTGGGGGAGCATCTCCTCTGGAAAAGACGCAGCCAGCGGAAGGGTGTGTGTGTGTGTGTTTTAGTGGGGAGGAGAAACAAGGAAAGGCTGAGCGTGCTTTCCGATCACAAGTGTCACGCTAGCTTTCCTGGATGCGAAGTCTGGTGGGCGGGAGGGAGGCTGGCTGCTCCAGGGAGTTTCCATGTGCCTTTCTGGGTGTGCCTTTCTGCAGATGCCTGCCTGCATTTTTCGTGAGTAGATTCAGGCGGCATTTAATGTACAACCCTGAACCCTGGAAAGTGGGGCAATGTGTCGCCGGCATAATTAACTTGTAAACCACCCAGAGTGCACTGTAAGCACTATGAGGTGGTAGGTATAGAAGCAGCGCATGCTGTGTGTGCGCATGCACATTTCCTGGGAAGGGGAGACTGGGAGGAGGGGGTTGCCAGCAGCTGTCTGCCCCAGAGAGGGTTCCCTCCCCCCCCCGGTGCAGCCTCGC